ATGAATTGCAACTCGTAAGAGCCGCACCAGCACTGAAGTGAGTCGGAAAGACAGCTGGTCTGGCAAGCGCTTCCGAAAGATATAAAACTGAAAAACCGGATATGTATTTACGTTCCGAATAGCTGAAATTATTGTCAAAAATTTATGGAAATTTTAATGAATTTTTTTGTACACGAACTACGCCAAAAACTCTTGCACAAAGTACATTTTCGAGAAGGTGAAGTGATTTGCTTCGCACTTAATTAGCCGGAGGTGAGGGTTGCTTAGACAGAGAAATTTTCACGGATAAGATTTTCATTGCTAATTACTTTTTCGAATACTTCCGATATAAAATCGTGAATTTTGCACTTTTTTTCAGGCAAAAGCCACACAACCATTTTGATTGAAAATATATTCTGACAAAAGGTCAGCATGTCGTGAGATTAAGATTTCATAAGAGCATCAGGAATGACCAATAAACTTATTTTAAATAGAAAAAATTCTTATCTCGCTGTGAATTCAATTAATATTTTGTGGAATTTTAGTGATATGCCGGAATCTATGTAAATAAAAATGTACGGGTTTTATTAAATTATTAGCCCTCTCAACTACTAAATCAATCCAGATGATATTTACTATAAGCTAGACAATCTTCAGACTAAAAGAACCAATATCGACTACAATTAAATAAATGCTGACAAAGTTGTAAACTATTCAATTGAATTTTTAAAATCGCTAATAGTACGATTTTCATTGGCTTCAAAAGATCAGTTAACTTGCTTAAGATTGCTTAGTAAATTTGACCACCACTCAAACTACTTAAAGACCTCCCGTGTCCTTTTACGTCCTTAAAAATATAGTAAGTAAAATTAGACCAAAAATATTTCTAGTAACTTACTTAAGTAAGCAGTGGAAACAAGATGTAATATATGTCACTAAGTAACTTTTAATTTTTTTTTTATTGAAAAAAGTATAAAGGGATCTTAAAATCAATTGCGACAGTGATTCTAAATCAAAGTCTATTGCAATAATACCCGATCTTAAAACGAAAAGCAAAATTTGTATAAATTGAAATCATTGTTTGTCTCACAACGTAAACTTAAACTTTGCAAAATAATTTTTATTTTAAATTTCTTTAATAATATTTTGCCGCAGTTAAAATAGCTCATATGAACCCTAAAAGCTCCACATAAATAAAGAATAAAAAGTGTTGTAAATCACACCACTTTCGGTGAAAGAAGGTGGTACACACCAACTACTAAAAAGCGATCGCACGCCAACAGATGTTGAAACAAAACAAAAGCGAAATCAATCAGCAGAAGGCAACAAAACATTTCTGAAGGTATCTCAATGGAAACGATTAGGATCTGTGAGAGAAATCCATAACGCCTACTTCAGTATTCCTCTTAGTAATATTGAACCATACAGAAAAGAAGAATGGAACGAAGTCATAGAAACCACACAATCAAGATATTTATAACATTAAAAGCCTACTCCACAATTGTGTTTCCTTTGAGACATCCCATTTCAAAAGAGAACTACCTCAATGCCCACGCTGACAACACAATGGCCTCAGTATATCAGGCAACCCAATTGCATCGGCCGACTGCAAAAGGAAAACAGGATCGAATGATGTCAAATGTGTCAAGGAAACCAAATTGCCAACTACAACAACTGCTTAATGTATAAAAAAAGGCAAGTTACTACTTTTCCACCACTTAGAAAAAAAATTCCTAAAACCTAATACTGATATTGCTCCTTTAAGTAATCCGTATGAAAAACATCTGCACGCACTCAATCAAGTCAAACTATTCCAAATAAAAACACTCAGCAAACGTTATCTCAAGCTACAGCCATCCAACAGAGCGATGCATTCGTGTAAATAAACTTTACGCAAATAAAGCTCGTCCTATGGAATACCAATGGGTTGTCACATTCTTCTGAACTGATATTATTTCTATAAAAAAATAACATAAATGTACTATTAGTGTCAGAAATACTCTTCACAAAAAAAAAGTGTTTTTAAAATTCCATCCTGTTTCTCTCAGTCTCCCCATCCTGACGGAAAAGCTCATGGAGGCTCCCGAATATTAATTTAAACAACATTTAAACATTATGAATGTACTCACTAAAGCACTGATGAAATTCAAGCCACAAACATTATAGTCGTGGAATCAGTCGAACCGATTCTTGTATATAGGGCTAATCAAAACATAATATGAAGAAAGAATTTCTCACCAAATTTTTCTCAAGATTATGGTGGTGATGATAACATGAATTATATAAGGCAAATCCAGAAGATTTGGATGTTAGTCCAAAGTTAGCCAGAAGATACTATAACCGACAAAAAATTCATCCCAAAGCTCTTGCTTCGAATTTGATTTCGCCCTCGAGGTTGAAAGGAAATGTTATAATGAAATCTTAACTTAAAGAAAATAAATAGCTCTCCACAGGAAGAACTACCTAAATTATAAGTTATTATGCCTAAAAGCCTTCATTTGTCAACAAATTGTGAAATGTCAAAACATTATATGACAGAATACATATTAAATTTAAATTAAATTAAAAACAAAACCTCTAAATTTTTTAGTTATATATATTACAGGACAAATTATTATTAAACGTACAAAACTCGATGGAAACTGCCAATAATGCTCTTATGCGCCCTACACTTCTAACATTGATATGATTTCTTAAATGGAGCGAAATCAAATTTATAGAATCGAATATAGGAACAAATCAAAGATGAAATTTTAAAAAACCTATGTGAAGGTACCACCATAATTTCCTATATCCGACTTCGTCCATACAGAATCTGATTATATTCTTCAATTTGTTCTTGTGTTGACACATTGTATACTAACAACAGCACTAAATCTGTCGCAAAAATTAAACGAGCAAAATTAAACTTAACCACACATAATAGAAACTGGATATATAAATTACTTTTAATGCTACAATGTAGCAAGCAAAGTTTTAAGCAAATATATTTTTTACCTATATACATAAGTCATTTATTAGATAGAACTTAGAACGGGTCTTTCTTGAAGACAGTTTGCTCTAAATATGTTTTAATATATTGTATAATATAGAACCATAATCCAGTTCCCACTGTCACTATTCGAACTTCAATTTCAAACAGTGAAATATTTATTGATCACAAAACAAGAGGACTCAACTTGCCCTGAAATGACATCGTCGATGTCTTTTTTTCTTCGTTGTGAATGACAGATATAAGACAATTTCAATCATTTCAGATTTAAACCCATAAAATAGAGTAAAATTAGTAAGAAACTCTTCTATGAGATATAAGCATACAGGACAACAGTCCTTAGACCCTTTACCTGGATTGCGGCTAAATTTTTTCTAGAATAATAATGAAATGTTCTTAGTCGAGTAGTCTCCACTTTCTCTATTCCAAACTAAATCTCTAAACTTTCTTGATAATTTGTCATTTTGTTTTTGACCAAAGCAGGCGAAATTTATTCTTCTAAATTTCATTTCAAATAAAAGACGCAAAATTATAAATATAGTAAAATGTGAAGAAAACGTTTCGGAAAGAGTCAAAATTTTCTTGTAATCAAAATTATTGGTTTCCATATATTTTATAAATATGAGTTTTAAGTCAAAATTTTTTGCAAAAATAGTCAGGGCAGTTGCGGGTTTCCAGCAGACACGGAGTAAAACTATATTTCAATTAAAATTTCATTTATTTTTAAATTAAATTTTCATTATTAATAGTACCGCAGGTGATTGCAGATAAAAAGACACAAGAGACAGGTAACTAACTTTTCAATATGTCCTACTCTGTGACTGTTGTATAAGAGAATGCATCAGATTCTTAAGCCTCTGTGTAAAGGGTTCCATTATTTCATAGTGCCAGCTCACTTATTAGATAAACAAATGAGTCTGTAATAACACTTCTTCTTTTCTCATTTTCATTTTTTCTACAGCAATAAGTACCAATGTTAGTTCTAGTTCATCGCACATCCAAGAAAAGGAAGCTCAAAATGGTAAGTAATGGTTCGGTACCTAATTCTTCTTACTGAAGTACCATCTTATAGTAGTTATCAATATAAAGGTGTCTATTTAGCAAGGAATTGATAAGGTCTAATCTAAAAATTATTCTATGTAATATATATCTTTTTTGATATTTTTATTGATTAGATTCAGTCAATTTTCTTAATGCAGCAGCTAGCATTGATCACAGGGAGGAATACTTTGTTTTTTAACCGCTGAATGCATTTGAAGTTTGTTTTTTTGCGCAACCCGAAAGCCAGACATCATGCATTCAGATGCATCAATTTTCAATTTTGAATCAATTTTGATCAATTTTCAAATAGAGGACAGAGATACGTTTCTACATAAAAGCCTAGTCATTCAAATATTCGAGCTTTCTTTGTTTGATCTCTGGTCCGTTTCTTCTATTTTAGAATACTCTTTCCGTTTAAGCTTTGCTTTGGAGTCTTTTCAAAGTACAACTCATTCAAACTTTGCAGTTTTTGAATATGGTATTGGGTTGTCAAATATATTGATCAATAAACATTATATGGGTCTAATAGACAAATTAATGTATGTTGATTTTGTATTATTCAATGCAATTTTCCATATTGACTTAGAATACAGTTTGAATATTGATAACTAAAAACTAGTAACTAATAACAAAATTGAATTTTCGAAATTTATTAAAGCATCAGTTTTATTCAATTTTATTAAAAATATAATGACAAATACTTATTACCAGTAAAAAAACTTATTAAGATCCAATAAAAGTCAACTAAATAGATAATATATATTTTGTAGGTGATAACGAACTTGTGCCGGAAAGCTCTAACAACATGACCAATTTAAAGAGTCGAAGTTCTCGGAGTGTCACTATGACTAATATAAAATCGCAAACAGAAATCGCAAACAGGTCACCCAAATCTTCAGATCAAGAAACAGGAATTCCAACCATTTATATGAAAATGTTGAAAGATAATTATACTGAGTTTAATGAGCATTTTAAAAACTTGGAACAAAAGAAAGTAAAAACAGCACGTGAAATAGTCGAGCACAAAGTAAAGTACCTTCCTTTAGTTAAACTAATACAAATATGTTAACCTGATATTCTTATTTTCAGAATCTTAAACGCCCTTGAGCGCGCCGTTCATTTCAAGATTTAAAATCCAACTATTTTGTAGTCATTAGCAACAATAGAATTCGAGTTTGTAAACCAGTAGTTCACTGAATCTATTCATCGAATTTGATTGAATTTGAAATATGCAAATATTTCGGACTTACTTCCGAGAGATAATTCCATCTCTTCGATCTTTGAAATTTGCAATTTAGTTTCCAACCAATTTCCATCGAGTTTCTTGTGACAACGTTGTTGTGATGAAATGTCGGACAGTAGACATTCTAATACATCAACATGATTTGCTTAAAGTCATTGGTGAAATTGCGGATATAGGAGCTGCGATAATTCTACGCAACTTAATCAATTAATCCATGAAAATCAACCGTAGTATTAATAGACATTCGTATTTTCATATATAATGCAATGGTCTCCTCCAACTGCCACTCGTATATTGATGTAGGTCATATATCACGTTGTCGTGGTATTCATTACTGTGGTATTCATTCGAGGATGATTATGTTGCTGTGGTAACACCAAATAATGTTCAAAATTCTGTAAATCAATATTGTAGTTAGTTGTAAATAATAAAGTATTTTGACACATAAACGTTTAGATGAGAAATTAGAATAAATGTCTTTCACTTCTCGACATATTCTTAGATCAGGAACTAGTGTCGTCCTGATCACTACAAATTGCTAAAGGGCCGTAGCGGAACTTTACAGCGGCACTAGTACAGCAGTGGCTTTAGCGGTTTATGTCAACAACAAAAGTCTTCTCAAACGTACAATAGTTGAATTTTCCTAGATTTAAAGTTTATATAAAATGTGTATAAATACAGATACTTTGAATATCCTAAACCGTTTGTCCAAACTGGCTGAACTGAATGTGAATGGCTGCTCAAACCGTATTCTTTGATCAGCTGTCAGCGATCAAGAAGTTTATTAACACGTAGCATCAACAACTGATAAACTGATCCATAAAAAATTATTCGTATAGTTTTTAGTAAAGAGTTAAAAGCCTAAAACTATAATATCTACAAATTAATAAAACAATTAAGAAATAAAAGATTATATATGGTTTTTACTTTAAATTTCTGTCCTCAAAATATATATTTGTGATCCTTGTTCATTTACGGACTTATTGTTACCATCTACACCCCAATATTATACAAATGTTCTTACATTTGTGAACTATTCATATATCCACACTCTAGATTAAAGTGAAAAAGATATGAGTATGAATATTATTCGTATTAATATTGAATTAATTGAGGTAAAAGAATATTATATTTCAAAGAGTTATTCTTTATAGGGATCACCGTACGTTTTTAGAGATTTGATAAAAGTATTATTTTCTTAATGAAATAGTCAAAAGTTTAAATATTATATTTGACATCAACACTTTAAACCCGGCAGTCTATGCAAGGTCGACACCTATTAAGTAAAATCCTGTTGTCAAAAATTTCTGGGCATTTCTGGACTATTCATGTCTAATCCTGGAAATTGCATTTTCGTTTCTTTCTCAATCGATATAGCTAATAGTAATAATTGGAGACTTATTAGATTTGTGAAATAATTAATTTTCAAATGTGAAGTTGGTGTATGGTTAACTTTTTTCCATGAAATATAGATTTGGTCCACAGTGCAAGAAGATAATTGCTGTTTAAACTGATGAGTACCGCAAATTGAATCCATAATCCACAAAACTTCTGTCAACAAAGTCGAGAGAATTACAACGTACAGCGTGCGAAGGCTCAGACATTGATACAATAGGAATGACATGCAGGAACAATCGGACACATGTTCGTTATAACGCACGGTGGCGCATTTGCATCCGTTTTCCGGTTTCAGATGCAGTCGTGCAATAATTTTTAGCTACGAAATATTGCTAAATGTGAGCAAAAACTCAAAATATAAAACAAAACTCTGCAATTGGGCAGTATTTTCGCCTATGCGCTTTTCAAGTCAAGTTCGAACATTTGAATCCTGGCATAGTTACATTGTGTTTAATGTGTTCGAGTCTATGGACAGGTTATGTCCACCATGGCAACAATACTATCATCAATGCATCTATGTAAACACACATGCACGCACACACACGTTAACATCAGTTGAACATTTGCATTGGTCTTCGTTGACATTAGTACTCGTACGTTCTTTCTCAATTTTCCGTTGTAATAATCCGATTTTTCAAATAGAATTTTTGATTAACGACAAAAGCATTGGCATATCAAATCGACACAATCATCAACCAGTCATCATCACACTCATCATCGTTATCGTCAGCACCAAAACCAATGATTATACCAGTGCCATTGCCATTCCGACCAGCAACATCAGTTCAGCACCAGCAGCAGAAGCAAGAACAGAAGCGGGGCAGCAGGGCCAATGCCAATAATATTACCACCAACAAGACCATCACCAAGACCACTGCAAGCATCAGCAACCTTAACTTACCATATCAACGTCAAAATGTTATTGCTAGGAAATTGTATTCACGCACCTTTTCGGTTCGGTTGGGTCGTCGAGGATTTGAAAAATCAGCAAAAAGGGAATCAATAATTGGTATCGTAACGTATGCTAAAAGCCAAAAATGCAATTTCTAATTGAGTTTGCAGCGATTTTTAGCTTGCCAGTGTATGCAAAAAACCCATTCATACGTCCCTCCAACTGTGTGCCTGCGTTCACAAAACCTCGCAGGAATGGACTTCGTTAGCTCTTTTAAAAATGCGCAATAATTCATACAAGTCCACACATACACACGTATCGAAGCACATAAGGGTATCTGTTACCCTACACACATGTGATTTCAAGTGCATATTAGCCTAGAGCCACAATTCAATAAGGATAATGCAGTCAATTAACACTGTTTTCGTTAAGAATAAAATTGGAGTACTTTTTCAAAAAAAAATGGGCATTGAGTAGTTAAATATATGAAGAACTATCTGTCTATAATATGGAAAATATAGAGGAGGATTGGATTTGTTATTAACAATAAACAGAACAATACCTAAAAGGACGAGAAGTTTAATTTTTTTATCTTCATAAAGCTGAGCATTTTATTTTAGTCATAGTTTTTTTGAATCCAACTTACAGAATGATGATATATAGTGATGACAGTATACCCCAAAAATTGTCTTAATTAAATAGAATAGCTAAGCAAATTTGAAAATGCAATAGAATGCACCCGCATCTTTGATGGAAGGACCAAGTGAGCAACGATATGAAGACACTCGGTGCCACCAACTGACAATAGCAAGCAATTGATCGGCTCAATGCTCATGTCTATTAGAGGTAATTAAGTGTTTGACGGTATATATTCTGCTCAGAATTTGACAAAATAGGATTAAATTATGTTTGGAATTAATGTTTAATAATCAGCATTGGTGTACTTTAATAAATCATGATATAGACTACCGCGAACCACTTTGAGAGTCAAATAGCTTTCTGGGCAATTTTAAGCATAGTGTTATCTTATGTCTCGTTTCGATTGGAAAATCTAGGGTAACTATTTATATATTGAACACAGTTTTCATTTTCAATTGGTTGAACTCAGGCAAAATGTGTAAAAAATTTGGGGACTACCCATAATTTAATTGGTTAGACCACAAACTGCGACCAACGACAGATCGAGAACAAATTCATATTTGCTGATCGAAAACGACGCTAGACATCCCTATTATCCCTAAATTTTTAATATTTATTGATCTATCACTTTTGGAGATTTATGCAAGTCTAAAACTAACTACGAATGATCCCCAGAACTATACGGGTCATTCATATTTGTAGTTTTGTATTGAATTAATAATTCGCCAACTCTTGGATAGATTGTGGTTATCTTAGGCTGTAGTAATGCAATGTTTTTGCTTTATTCTTTTTTTAGAGGTCACACACAAGGCAGTTTTTGAAGAGCAACATGTATTGTTGACCCAAATAAACTGTAGGTTCATTGTGCTGTTGGTAGTCTTCTAATCATACTTCGACACGTCCCACTGTCATTTGCATAACAAAAAATCAGCATAGTTTATTCAAGTTTATTCAAGATAGAAAACCTAATAATAAACAGGCATCTATTGCTTATAGACAGGCAGTTTGTTGACAGATATCAGTCAATTAGGAAATTGAATCTCCAGAGTAATCATTCCTGTCGTAGTTGTGGAGAGGACGATGAAAGTACCTTACATCTGCTTTGATACTACCAAGTGTATGCGAGGCGCCGATTCACTATGTTAAGGAATCCGTTTTTTGAGAGTCTTGGCCGACTAATAGGCGAATAGGCATAAATATCACCGGCACTATCTAAATCTAATCTAAAATTAATGTATCCTTATAGTATTTTTTGCTAAACCTGCTCCAGTGCCTGAATCTGAGTTTGTTCTTTCATATATAATATTTAATTGATACCTAACAACAATTAGTATCAGTCATTTTGTCTTTGTTTTTCTTACTTCAGCGAAGTTAACTATTAAAAATAAACCTGTTATTATAACAGTTAGCCCTCCAGATAACATTACATAGACATAGAATATGTAATATGTGCAGTCGTTGATTTAAGCTATGTCCCATGGATATATGTAAACCTTTAATACATGATAGTATGAACACCTATTCTTAGTTTGCATTATTGTTGTTTCGGTGTTTCCATAACAAGTCTAATATTAACCTTGCAGAGTGTCACGAAGTTGGGCACAGATCGCTTCCCAATAATAAAGTCAGTTGAGCCTTTGTCTAGTCTTGATCAATTTTGCTCAAATAGACCTATGCTATATAGGTTGTAATCTTTCAATAACATTATTTGCTGTCCCGGTTTGATATTGTTCTTATGGTACCCGTACCACAACGACTCCGAACTTCGCTAGAAGTCTGCATGGCCTGAGAAATATTAAGATTTTCCAAACTACGAGAAATAGTAATTCTTGTAACTGAATTTAGAAACTTAGTTTATTATAATTATAATTTTTTCGCAAAATTATGAAATATATGTTTGTATTCTTGTAAGGATTTTAATAACCACTAGTAAATACTAGTGGTACTTATACAAAAATACTTATACAAAAATTTATACCTTTTTCTAGTGTATACTGCAGTAAATACTTTGCCAACAAAATAATACTTACATTTTCATTGACATTCATTTAATCTAATATTTTCTCTGAAACTTAAATTTAATTTTAATTAAACAAAAATTTAATTTTTAATCAAATTAAATCTTGATCCGATCATACAATTCTTTTTCGATATCACCAAATATCCGACAGTTTAGAATTATTAAGTTAATTTATACAGCTGTGATTTAGGCCTCAGTTTTGGCTTATAGCGCAACAGGGTCAATATTGTTTAACGACAGCAAACGTTGATAAAACTCTTAATTTGAATTATAGTACATATATGTCCACCGCCTTCGTTAGACCTGTTTATTTACTTAAGGTTGCTAATGAAATTTGATTAACTATGCAAAGAGCTTTTGTGCTTTTTAACTTAGTTAATAGCACATTTATGTTGTTTCATTTAGACAGTTTTACTTATTAAGACCGGTAATGAGAATAATTCACCACTCAAAAAACCTAAATAAAAACTCATATGAATTAGCTCATTATAAATAAATTAACTCATTTAAAGCGAAAAATGTCGAATACAACCCTTAAAAATAAATTTCCGTTAGAAATAAATTGTCCACAAAAGTAATTTTCCAAAATTTGAAATATTTATCATATGTTTTACATGTAAAATGTAAATAACAAAAGCTGAGCCGTAAACTAACGTAATGAGAAAGAAAGTATTTAATAAAATTTTT